AGCGTGAGGAAGAGTCCCACCTCCACGACACGGCCAGGGACCAGGCAGGTCCTTGGAGATCACGAGGAGGGGGATGTGGGGTTGACACCAACTCACAAAGGACGCGAAGCTCGGCGCTCGCGTTCTTGCTCAGGGTCTCCCCGTCCACCTCGAGGATGGCGTCACAGAAGAAACCGCGCCTGTCGTCGTTCTCGGTGGCGTTTAGCTGGAGCTGGGTAGGCTGCCCCGGGACCACGGCTGGAACTCCCTCCAGTGTGACCAGGGCTTGGGCCCCGGCTGTACAGGTTACTGTCACCATCTCCCCCTCGGGAGGGCTGGGCTCACTCAGGGTCAGTAGGGGCGGTGGGAAGCCTGGGGGCGGAGCATTGGCCGGAGTCCACTGACCACGCCCCTCCCGCCGGCTAAGGCCCGCCCCTTGTCCCCGGACCCTCCCAGCGATGCTGCCAAACCGAGGCTACCGCGCTCTCCGCCTTTCAGGCTGCTCAGGCTCCACCTCTCCAGCTATTCGGTGTCCTTTCTCCATCTGTCCCGCCCCTCCGAGTCCTCTGGGGTCACGCCTGTTCCGGTACTGAGATCCCGCCCACGCTTCGCCCCGCCTTCGCGTTCCTCTGGCCCCACCCCCGAACCGCCGGGGTCCCGTCTCGCTCCTTCTTACTGTAGATGGTCACGTTCTCCCGGGTCTCGCGGCTTTCGCCCCCCAAGGTCACGTTGCAGACCAGCTGCCTGGCGCCCTCCTGTTCTGCGCTGGCTGTGGCTGTGGCAGTGGCCATGAGTGCATCCCCCTCTAGGGTGACATTGAGATTCAGCCTCTGGTCCCCCAGCGCGAGATAGACCTCGGCCTCAGAGGCAGGAAACAGTCCGTCCAGGTGGCAGCTCACGGGCTTTTCTGAGCCCACTTCCAGGAGCCGGGGAGCAGCGAGGAGCGGGGGGTCCGGAGACAGGGCTAGGGGCCGACAAACGGAGCTTGAACTTATGCAAACTAAGCACTCACTATGTACTAAGCAAAACAGGTGCGTGTTGAAGTAAGGTTTAGCATTCAGATGTATCTGGCTCTAAACTTCTTCTACACCGGCCCGAACCCACTAGATCCCCCTTCTCCTTCCCCACCCACTCACCGAAGATTCGGAGCTCTCTGGGCGCCGAGCTGTTTTCAAACAGTCCCAGGCCGTGCGGCCGCAGGTCCAGCTCCGCACGGCACGAGAAATTGGCCCCATGGTCCTCCCTGCGCGCCAGTACCGTAGCTGTGAGCACCGCGCCCCGCGCTCGGGGTGGCTCGCCGGCGAAGCTGCGGCGGATCAGCTCCTGGGCACCCCGCAGCAGGGTCAGCGTGAGGCTCCCACGGGGCCCGGCGCCAGGAACCCTGCAGCTCAGGGTGAAGTTCTCTCCCACGGGCTGCCAGGGAGGCAGCGGCACCAGCTCTACGCGATCCGGACGCTCTGCAAGTGGGGAACCGCGGCTCATGGAAACGCCGGGGCTTAGAAGTACACGGCGTGGAACTCAGGGGATCCCGGGTCAAGAGGGGAGGGCGTTGGGATCCGGAGGGTGAGTCCTGAAGTGGGGTCGACCCGGGAGGCGGGGTCTGGCAGGACTGGAAGTGGAGTACCAGGACGGCCACTCAGAACTCACGGAAAGTGCGAATGAGCCCACGCGCCTGTAGTGTGCGCCGCGCGCAGCGAAAGAAGCAGATAGGTTGGGTCTCCGGTTCGCGGATGTCCACCAGCTGCCGCGCCAGCCAGCGCAACCCCCTCTGGGTCCCGTTTCTGCGCAGCGAGGTCTCCAGGCCACCGCGTTCCGGCCGAGGGCAGTTGGTGCTGCAATTCAGCCACAGCGAGCCCCCGCGCTCCACCAGCGCCACGCGGGGCTGCAGGTCCGCCCAGAAGGGCTCCTGCGCGACCGCTGCCCGGGGAAAGGCAGGCTCAGCCTGGGGACCCAACTTCCGGAGATCTTAGTGCCCCCACGCCGAGTCAGGAGTTCCCGGGGACGAGCAGAGACCACAACCAGAAAAGAACCCAGGAGTCTCGCGTCCTGCCCAGGTCTCCGGTTCGGAGACGCGCTCCCAGAGTCTAAACCTCGAGGGTGTCTCTGGGACATGGCAGCAGAGAGCCCTGGTCTCCAAGGCGCCGATGGAGCGATGGGAAAGCACGGGGGGAGGTGGGAGACGAGAGGAAAGATGGGGTCTTCGATGCACACAGCAACACTGGGGGGAAGGGACCCCGGGTGGGGGATGGGAAACGAACTGGTTCTCAGGGTCTTGGCAGATCGCCGGGAGAGGGGGAGACTGAGGTTGGGACGAGGGCAAAAGAGAGGTGAGGCTGGGTCAAGGATAAAGGAGGACCCCAAACCTGGGAGAAGAACAGGGAAGGAGGATGCGGGGCTGAGCTCCTGGAAGGAACCGCAGGAACAGGCGGGAGACGCGGTTGCCAGGGTTCCCGGTGGAGCGGGAACAGCGCCTCTGAGTCACGGTAGTTGGGGAGATGGGGTCTTCGCGGGCCGCGAGTGGGGAAGATGCCAGCCCGTGGACCGTGGTGCACGAGCAGAGCGTGAGTAGGTACCCGGGGAGGGGACAGGAGAGACACGGGGTCTCCAGGGCGCGGGGTGGAGTGCGGAAGAGCGCCCAGGATCTCGACGAGGGCAAGGTAGAGACCTGGGCGCGCGAGGAGTCAGAGGCTGGGTCTCCGGTGTGTGTTTGCGGGGTGGGGTGGGAGTGGGATTGGGAGAAGACCCGGGCTCAAGGTGGGGCCAGAAGCGTGGGAGCGAGGCGAGGGCGGAGCCGGGAGGGGCGAGCGGTTGCCTCCCAGGTCCTCGAACTCCGCCTCCGCCCTGTCCACCCCGAGCCCGGGCGGGCTCTTACCTGAGAAGCCGAGGAGCCCCAGGCCCAGGGCAGTCCAGAGGCCGAGTAGCGCCCGGCGCAGCCCTGGCGAAGGCCCTGGCATCGCCGCCGCGGGGGAAGCGCAGGAGGCGAGGGGAGCGCGAGCGAAGAGCCGAGCTAGAGGACGGCGCGGCGCGGCGGGTGGGGTGTGGGGGAGGCAGAGTTGCGCTCGGGGATTGGTTTAACGTTGGTAACTTGGTTTCCAAGGAGGGGGCGGTGGCAGAGGCGGCTGGGGGACCGGAGGCGAGCGTGCGCTAGGCTCCTGGCCTTGGTGAAGGCGAGCTGGCAAGGAGAGAGCGACCCCCGGGGTCTGCGTGGAGGCCGCCCCGATCGCCCGGAGCCTTCTGGGGGCGAACGCGCTCTCCCGCGTCATCCCCGGCGGCGACGCGGAGGTCGGGGGATGCTGGATTGCCCGTTCCGAACCCCCACCCCATCCCTGGCTTAGGTGCTATATAATAATGAGCTGGACTGAGAGTTCCGCCCCCATGTTTAGCTCCTCCCACCAGCCCCCCTTAGGGCGAGGATTGAGGTGGGGACTAGGGGAGGTTTTGGGAAGCGCAGGATGGGGAAGGGGCAGTTCTCGGGGAGGATGTGGGGCTGACTCCCTCGCTGATCCTTCCTTTGTTCACCCAGTGGAGCTTGGGGTTACAGCCACGCCCCTAGTCCCCCTCCCTTTCGGCTCCGGCACGCGACAGAGAGGGCGGGGACAAAAGTGCCAGCGAGTCGAGGACACGTGTGCGTGCGCGCAGCGTTCGCGGGCGTCTAAATTAGAGTCGGCGCGGCTCGGGCTGTATTTACCCAGTGTGCAGCGGGCACGTGTCTACTCTGCGTGGGGAAGCGCAAGCCGCGGTGGAGCGCCCCTGAATCCGCCTTCCTCGCGGCAGGTGGGGGCTCTGGACCACGCCGGCTCTGCTAGGCACCCAGTGCGGGCACGGATCCTGCGTCCGCGCGGGACCGAGAGACCAACTGTGGCGCTTCTGATCCTGCATCCAGGCCTCAAGCTTTGACAGCCCCACCCACCCACCATGTGCCAACCTGGCCCGGTGACCACCAGGACGTTGCCAGGACGCGAGTCTGTGACACCCCATGTGGACCACCTGATTATCCCTTCACCGCTGTCACTACATGGATACTTCTGTTTATCCACGACCCTAGGTTTGTCCAGATGACCCCGCCCATTTGTGGTCTTGATTTTTGGTCTTCCTCGGTGTTGATGTTGAGTTCAGGGGGTGAGTTCTAGCTCCGCGGTTGCAAAGCGCAAGGTGTGATGTGAAGGTGGGGGTGGGAAAGGAAACTTAACATCCAATTAGAGCTGCTGCGTGGCAGAAACGGAGCCAATCAGGAAAGGCCATACCGTTAACCCGCCCTCCCCCCCGCCAATGGCCCTCCAGGGCCTCTACTTAGCCCATCTGCTCCGCATTGATAATGCCAGCAGAGGAGAGGTTTTTTTTTGTTTTTGTTTTTGTTTTAAAGATGACCGGTAAGGGGATCTTAACCCTTGACTTGGTGTTGTCAGCACCACGCTCACCCATTGAGCTAACCGGCCATCCCTATATGGGATCCGAACCCGTGGCCTTGGGGTTCTCAGCACCACGCTCTCCCGAGTGAGCCACGGGGTGGCCTGAGTAGAGGTTTTTACTACACTGGCTGGGAATGCAGAGGGATTGGGGCTCCGGGACTCAGGTGGGTCTTGAGTGAGAAAACCTCAGGTGCTCTCAGGGAGACAAGGAACTTGGAGACAGTGATTGAAGCCCAGCTAATAAAGAAGACCACTTCCTACAGGAGGGTAGTGATAGAGACCGTAGGCCGTGGGACAGAGGCTGGCAGAGGAAGGCTTTATTGATCTGGGAGGGTTCCCAAGTTGTTCCAGATTGCTTTTTACTCCTTCTAAGCCTGGGAATGCATCACTTGGCGCTTTTGCAGGTAGACAGCTCCCACGGCGAGAGGGATCCCCACAACCACTGCGATGGAGGTGGAGGCCAAAGCTTTAGACTCGGGTCTCCAAGCTAGGAACAGGAGGTGAGAGTTAGGAACGGAGCACCTGGAGGTTTGACTGCTCGCGGGGAGCTCGCGCTCAGTCTGTGCGCCCTCCTGTGGTCATAACCTTTCCCCCCTCCCCAAGCCCCCAGGATTACAGGGGTACCTCACCGGGCGTCAGCATAACAGGTGCCGAGTTGCTGCGGACCACCAGGCCGTCGAGACTGAGGCGCGCGTGGCAGGTCACTGGCTGCCAGAGGTTGCAGGGCCTAGCCCGCAACACGTGGGTCAGCGTCACATTCGCCAGATGCAGGTCCGTGTAGCGCTCCAGGCTTTCGGAATAGATGACCTTGTCACCGCTCCTCAAGGTCACCACCAACAAGCCCACGGGGAACACGTGTGTCACGTGGCAGCGCAGAGTGTACTCATTGCCCTCTAAGACCGGAGGCTCCAGGACCACGCTGTGCGGCCGTTCTAAGGCAAGAGGAGGCCCTGAGTAAGGTCCGTGGGCACCCCCTAGTGCGACTGTCAACTACCCCCTCTTCCGCCCCGCTCACCTCACCCCAGCCAGGCCTAAACCCCTGTCCCTCACTGTAGGTGTTGATCCTGGCGGTGGCCGTGAGCGTTTTCCCCGCGCAGGTGACAGAGCAGTACACGTCGGAGCTCCAGGCCCTCACGTTGAGCAGCTGGTAGTATACCCAACCAGGCCCACTCAGCGTCTTGCCTCGCTGCAGCTGGGTGTAGAGTCTTGAACCCTCGGGCAGGGGACAGTTGTTACTGCAGTTGAGCCACACTGAGCTCCCCGGAGGAACGGCCACTAACTCTGGGCTTATGCCTATCCAGAACGGTGCCGAGGTCCCCGAGGGTGTAGGAGGGCTGGAGCCTTGCACCCGCTCCTCAGAATTTCGCCCCCGTGGGCTCCCACCTCCCGGGTTGTCTGCCACCAGCAAAAGCAGCAGCGACAGAAGGAACAGAGACCCCATGGCAAAAGCCTGGACTGAGGGGCCCTGTGCCAGGAAGCCACAGCTGACTCTGGAGATAAGGAGGCCTGCAGACCCGCCTCCTCAACCCTGCCCCGAGAGGAACCGAGTGGGGGGAGCCCTAGAGGGCCCAAGAGCCCTGCAGAAGATACCCCCTTCCCTTGGCTCAAGAATGGGATTCCAGACCCTATTGCAAACCATATGACATTGTATTTTTCTGGAGAGGGGTCTTTGGCTTTTACTAGAGTCCCAGAAGGTCATAAAAAGCCTCAGATTTGGACCAGAGTCACAAGGTTGGGCCTTGAACTGGCAGCCTTTTCTTGGGAGAGGAAGTTGGGGGACAGGGCTGTGGTGGAGCTGCTTAGAAAGTATTCCAACTGGACATGACACCTCCCTTCAACTCACACAAGGCTGAAGCAGATGAAAAAGCTTTATTAGTGCAAATGAGGGGCTTTCAGAGCGGGCAGGGAGTCCTCCAAGGCCTTGGCCCCCCTCTCCACTGCTTGCAGGGCCCTGATCACTGCGGGAATTTGGAGTTGCAGTGTTCTGTTCCTGCATGGTCCCACTGAGATGGCAACAGGTAGGATAAGACAGGGGCACACAGGGGTTGGGCATGGTTTCACAGGACTCCATAGTTTAACTGCCAAAAAGTAGGCACCCATATTTAGGCATGGTCACTGACCGTCGTTTCAAACACTGACAGAGATGCATGTGGGTGGAGAGATAGCTAAGGAATGTCAGCACCAGTGCTGGCAGAGTGAGGGTAAGCACCCAGTGGGTGGTCTCTGAGCATGTAACCATTGCTAGTCCGTACAGTGCCTTTGTGTCAGATAGAAAAAGCACACCTTCTGGGGGAAAGCAATTTGGCCAATGGAGTGAGAAATTCCAGTCCCACTTGATCTTTTTTGCGAGGCACTGTTGTGCAGTGCCCAACCAGTACAACTGTACCTGGCAACCCTGAATGAGATTAGACCGAGAGCTCCATGAGGGCAGGGACCTATGTTCACCTTGCTCACCATTCTCACCTCATAAAAGGTGCTCAATAAATAGGTAGTAAAATAACAAATGAATAAATATTTGATTATCAAGAATTGGGGACATTCAGTTGACAGACAGCAGTGCCGGAGCTGGCATCTGTCAGAGGAAGTATGGGCATTTGTGTTTCGATGCTGCATGTGTCTGTGCAGGGCCACTTCTTCCTCAGGACTGTGGGGCCTCAGGCCACACAGTAGGGAGCAAGTTTGAATATTTCCTGGCTGCATGTCCCCATATCAGGGGTATGTGTCTCTTGGCACTCCCCCTCTGGCCGGTCAGCCTTTGACATCCCTCACAGTCATGCCCAGAATCTTGTCCATTCCTCTTGGCTCAGCCCTGCAGGTACAGATCGGTGTGAGGCCTGGAAGGATCCTAGATGTGCAGGTGCCAGGACCCCAAATGCTGTCTGCATCCTGACTGAGGCCACTGTCCTGTCCTCTGGTGTTCAGGGGAGGTGGGTGTGGCTGAATAGCATTTGTCCACCACTCTGTTCAGTGTGGCACCACTGCCACCATGTGGGGGTCAAGGAGGTGGCTATGTCTTAGGACAGGCTCAGGGTGGTGTGGCTTGTGTGTTCAGCTTCTTCATGGTGGTCCCCTTCTCAGCCTCTTGGAGCTTGTACTTTCTGATCTTCCTCTGGCGGTTATAGAGGCAAGTGGCTGTGGTCACAGTGGCTACAAAGACTATGGATGCCACCACAATTATGATGACTATGTTGTTCTGCTGGTCTGCAGGGAAGACACAGGGGATGGTGAGGATTGAGCCAGGCTCACTGTCCCCACCACACCCAGCCCAGCATACGGCCACACTCACAGACTACGTTGATGAAGACATCGCGGGTGACCTCCCCACGAGTGCTCACAGCCCGACAGCGGTAAGTGCCCACAAGATCTCGTTTGACAAGGATCGGATCCCAGATGCGCAGCAAAGCTCCATCCCTTTTCCGGTGACAGTTCAGCTCGGGGGACGGGTTCCCCCAAGCCTTGCATTTCAGAGTCTGCTGGGAGCCTTCCTGCCATGTCCAGTTTCCCTGGCAGTCCTTCTCGTCCAGTCGGGGACCATCTGGAGAAACACAGCAAGATGAGGGACGGAGGTCAGGGACCAGGATGCTCCTTACCAACTAGGACTGGAGGACCTAAGCAGGAGTCTGGGGAGGGGGCTTCTCTAGAGGTGGGGGCAGGGCTTGGAGGGCAAGAGCGTTCATGGGGACTTAGGGGTTGGGTCTGGAGGGCAGGGGTCACTGTCCAGCAGCTCCACTCACACAGGACACTGAGCCCTCGAGTCTGGTTCTTGTGCAGCACCTGCCCGGCCACCTCCAGTGCAGCAGAGCAGGAGAAGTTGCGCCCGTTGTCCTCGGCGGTGGCGTTCAGCAGCATTTGAGCCCGTGAAGACGGTGGCCAGGCTGGGGCCCCGCTCAGTGTCACCACGGCTCCAGCGTGAGCCTTGCACTCCACCATCACTTCTGTCCCTTCAGAGACCTCGGGCTCACTCACAGTCAAGTTGGGTGCTGGGAAGCCTGGGGGCGAGGCACACGGTGAGCCCCGCCCCGACGCCGGCCCCGCCCCTTGAAAAGCCCCGCCTCCGCCACTTACTGTAGATAGTCATGGGCTGCCCGGTCTGCTGGCTCTGGGTCCCCAGGGTTACCACACACTTCACCTGCTGGGTGCCCTCCTCCTCCGCCTTCACCTTGATCGAGGCCATAGCCAAGAGGAAGTCCTTGTCGTGTGTGACCTTGGGGTTCAGCCTCTGGTCCCCCACCGCCAGCTGGACCTGGGCCTCGGAGGCCGGGAACAGTCCACGCAGGGAGCAGCATACGGTCAACTTTGTGCCCACCTCCAGGACCGGGGGGATGTGAAGCTGGGGTGGAGTCATTGGCAGGACTAGAGAGAGAGGATGGGAGTGAACAAAGAGGGGATGACGTCCTGAAGCCCTTTCCCCCAGCTGGAACATCCTCTTCTTGGAAGACTGAGCTGCCTGGGCGACCCCTGTCCTAAGACACCCAACCCACTTAGCAGGGGTCACAGCCTTCTTAGAAAATTCTGCAGCCGCGGGCACCCCATCCTAGAACACCCCACCCCAGTCGCCAAGGACTCTTTCCAGAGTTTTCGCAATTTAGGTCACCATCTTCTCAGTAACCCCATGGCCAGGGGCCCCTTCCTCCCAGGAACCCACACACCACGCGGGAACACCGCCTCCCTCAGCCCACCCTCCTTCTGCCAGCTCCCCAATGTCTCACCGAATGTTTGGAGCTGCCTGGTGGTCGAGGTGTTCCGGAACAGTTCCAGACCTAGGGGCTTCAGGTTCAGTTCCGTGCGGCACGAGAAATTGGCACCGTGGTCGCCTCTGCCTGCTAGCACTGTGGCCCTGACCGTGACATTGGCAGGCTTCCCCATTGCTGGCTGTCTACTCAGCTCCTGCTCCCCCCGGAGCAGCACCACAGTGAGGTGGGCCCGGGGCTCCCCACCTGCCACCTGGCAGCTCAGGGTGAAGTTCTCGCCCACGGGCTGCCAGGAGGGCAGCGGCGCCAGCTCCACGGACTCAGGGAACCCTGAAGGAGAAAGGGGGTTGAGTGATCCTTGAGCTGGACTGCCCCACACCTGCCTGGGGAGCTCACCACTTCACTGTCAGCCCCAAACACGCCCCACCACCTAAGCAGGCAAGAATGTCAAGTGCTTCAGGAGAAACTGGTGAGAAGACCCCAAGTGTTTGCAAAGGGAACCCAAAAATTCTTTATTCACTGTAGAAGCTCTTAGAGCAAAGTGTGGAAAGAAACTTCAGAGTCTATCACCAGCCAGCCTAGAGTAGGTTATTTTATATGCTGGAAGGTAGGCTGGCCAGCTAGCTAAGTGGTTAGAGCGAGGTGTCATAACGCCAAGGTCAGGGGTTTGGATCTTCATACTGGCTAGACGTTAAAAAAAAAAAAAAAAAATCTACTCAGTTAGCTTGTATCCCTCCCAATAGAACGTCGGCCCCAGGACGGGTGGGGATTTTTGTCTGCTCTGTGGTCTTGTGCCTGGCACACAGCAGTTCCTCAATATTTGTAGAAAGAATGAGGTAGAGCATCCACATTGACGTGAGCTGTAAAATGGGGCTGTTAGAGGTAGGAATATTAGTAACCCATTTAAGGGGTTGAGAGAGTGACTGTAAATGGCATAACGTTTCTTTTTTCTTTTAAAAAGATGACCGGGGGAGGCCCGGCCCGTGGCTCACTCGGGAGAGTGCGGTGCTGATAACACCAAGGCCACGGGTTCGGATCCCATATAGGGATGGCCGGTTGCTCACTGGGTGGGCGTGGTGCTGAC